CAATCCATTAGAAATCCCTTTCAAAATTACATCCAACAATTACAAAATCAAACGGAATAAAACCCAAACCTTCTCTAAATTCTATCATGCAAATATCATTCCAGCATCATCAATTTTCAAATTTTCAATAGACCTATTAGGCACATCGGAGAGAAAATTTTAACTTCTTAAATGTCATGAAAAGTAGAATGTCCCAAATCATTACTTTCCTTAATTTCTTCTTTGTTCAATATTAAATTATGCTCAATCAAGAAATCATCAGAAAATGAGTCTTGATGGCAAAGTAACCACTGGAAAATGCTTAATTGAATGTCCTAATTTCATTAACAAATTGCTTGTGACAGCAAAACAACCATCGGAGGAGTCCAATTGCTTCTTTTTCCTAATCTATGACCCTCTCTTGGTAAATATAATAACTAATCGAAAGGGAAAAATAAGAAACTCTTGAATTATCATTATTGAACAAATAAAATCCAGAGAAAACAGTGAAGAAATAGAAAAGAAAGAAGCCTCCGTCAAAGGCAATCCATGGTAAAGAGTTCAAAATCTTCAAGATAAACATCGAGAGAAGGAGAGGATCAATAGAGAGGAAAAGTGGAAACAGCAACATCATTAGGGATGGATTACCAGTGAGATTGAACTACTTATCTTCCCTTTGATCTTTGATTGAATTGAACCCTAAACACAATTTTCTTTTATGCTTAAGAAAATAAAGTAAATGAAATAAGAGAGCCCCAAACGTTGTGGGCGAAATGGCGAGAAACATAACACTACTGAGCACAACACAATTCAGGCCAAACTACAAAACATTACTCATTTTTTAAATTAAGGAAATGTTTGATTTAAGGGAAATAATTTTTGTATTTGGTTAAAAAAAATTAAACGAAACGAAAAGAGACAAAAGACTTTTACTTTATTTTTTATTTTTAATTTATTTACTTAACCACATAAAGAGAGAAATGAAAGAATGGTTTATGTAGAGTTAAACATAATGCACAACAATTTTTTCTTAAATTTTAATGATGATGTTAGGGATGTCAACGGGATCCTGCGGGGTCGGGAAGTCCCTCCCTGTCCCCGTCCCTGCGAATGGCGGGAATGGAGATCCCCATTGGGATTTTTGACAAGAGGCAGATTTTGCGCCCTATTCCCGTTCCCCACTAATTAATATTAAATTATTAATTTTTTTTGTTTTTTATATATAATTAATTAATATTCAATTATAATGAATATAATTCTAAAAATTCAAATACAATTAACTAAAATTTTTAAATATAAAATCAAATCTAAATTGTCCAAATATAAATAAAAATCAATTCAACATAAATAACTAAACCAACAATTAACAAATTTATTCCAAACATAAACAAAAATTAATCCAAGTTAAACCAAAACATAAGCAAAAATTAAACCAACGATGAACGAGAAGGTGAAAATGAAAATTGAGATATGAATTACAATTAAGGTTAAATGTAAGTACGATAATGAATTGGGTTAATTTTTATGGATTGGATTGGGTTGGGTTGGGTTAAACAAAATTGGGTTAAATTTAATTTTGATTGAATTGAGTTTAAACTTGAGTTTGGGTTTGTATTCGGGTTTGGATTTAAGTTTGAGTTTGAAAAATTAATTCATATTTGTTTTAATTTTTATGGGGACAGGGATCCCTGTGAAATTTCAAGGGGAGAAAATGCTCCCCATCCCCACCCTACGGAGAGAAATATTCCTCCCCGCCCCATCCCCATAACGAGGATCCCCGCCAAGCCCTGCAGGAATCGAGGAAAATTGCCATCCCTAGATGATGTATTGCCATTGTTGAGGATAAAATGTACTGAAATTTTGATAGATAATACAAATAATCACATAAGTGATAACAGGTACAATAACAAAAATTTACATAAAGTTAAAAATGAGTGACGTTAAGACATGCTTGTATGCTCTAAAATGCCTGTGAAAAATAGTTAAGTATATTGTCCTAGAGGGGCAATTATTTTGCATACTGGATTCTCTTACCTCATTCATCCTCTCTTTCCTGCACCCAGCATACATAAAGGTGAACAAACTCACCCAGAGTTAAAAAACGAGGTTAATATTACTCTCGGTTCACAATAAAAGGAAAATTCTACAAAATTCAGTGCCCGGTCCAATTGCTATACTTTGGATTTGGGCAGTAGCCTATAATGTGACCTGATGACTCATGCGTACACAACATATTTTTATCTTCTCCCAGCATAAAATTATAATATAATATAAAGAAATTACAACAGTTTTAAATGCAAGAACCTCAAGATTGATGCCTACTCACGCGCATTTGTGGCACTGCATGTGTTGCACTGTATGTTCTTAATAGAAATGGAGCACTCCCACCAGAAAACACCCCTGATAGACCAGAACCTGAAGTCCCGTTACTTATATTTTCTGGAACACTAATGCCATTGGCAGCCTCAGGACTGGTTGATGATTCACCAACTTCCTGAAAGCAAATACGAAAGCATTAAGATTAGAAGGATTGTTTTAAAAGTGTTTGTGCAATGCATGCATATATATTTTGGTGTGTCAGTGTATAAAGTTAACCTTTAGGCCTGAGGCTGAGACAACATGTCTTGGAGATTGCTGAACCTGCAAGAAGACAACTCAGGTGAGGGTTAAAAGAACTAAAAGAACATTGTGACCCGAGTGGTGAGCATGAACAAAGAGTAACTACTTATTTCTTCACGCAGCCACAACAAAAAGGTTGGCTTTAAGAAGAAAAGATCTACAAAAGATTTCAATGAATTTAAACCTATTATAGTACTAAATTCCACCATGCATACAAAATAAACAAGAAAAAATATTATCAATCTATTGTTCGGGTGAAAAAATACATCTCCCACAGTGAAAATATGGGAAAAGTCAGAAAACAGATTATTCAAGACATCACTCCAGCACTCCAGTAATTTTCCCAATTCAGGATTGTCTTGAAAGGAACTAACCTTAGGAGATCCATTAGAATCATCTAGTGGAGGTACAACAGCAGGCAATGACTCAGTCTGCTTGAGCACAAAGAAAAGCAAGTATTAACGAGACATGCAATATTTCACTTAAAACACCTTTTTGCTCTCAGCAGGCAAAAATGCATGAAATTATGAGATTGTCCCTCATTTAATGAAAGAACTGAAATGAACTCAATCTTGCAAAAGTTTAAAGGCCCAAAAGGTTAGTCCAAGGAACTTCTACATTACACATCTGTATGTATGCCAGACAGATTGATGGGGAACTTCCATCATCCAAACAGAATGAATATCAGAATGCCCAAATATTAAAGTAAACTTAAGACTTACCCTTGATGATGTTATAGATGGAGGCTCAAGAGCTAGCTTGGAGGTGTTGGATGGCAAAGCCTGAATGATTAAAACACAACATAGTCAAACATAAAACAGATGTTAAGGAAATAAGTTGAACAGCAAGCAGAAAATCAATGCCTAGACCCAACAAAAGAAACAATGTTGACATAGTGTCCAATACACCAATAAAAAAATGAGATCTTAAAATATCCATACCATTACTGACAACTATTGCAGGACCAGATCCCATATGATAAAATAGGAAAGTAATAAACTTCATATCATACCCGAATCCGGTCTGTGGATCCATGATGCTCCAAGCTTTGAGCAGCAATACACACCTTAACTATTCCTTTAATTGAATTATCCTGACACAGATAAATAGAGTCAGTATCAGTTAAAGCTTAATAAAAAAAAAAAAATCGTTTATTGCAAGGCAAAGTTATGTTGTTGTAAAGGAATTACCTGCTTCAATTCAAGTCTATTAATCTTGCTTTCCTGTGACACCCAGAAAAGATAACTGTCTTATATTCACATCCAGAAGTATACCTCTAATAGTATCATAGCCAAAGGCAGAACCAACAGTTTAGAGACTGCTAGACGGCTTACCAAAGTTTTGACTGCAGTACGAACAGAATGAACATCATTGTTTATCAGATTTGATTTATCCTGAACCTGAGAAACCTGCAACAGAAATGAATTTTCTGTGAAAAACTTTGAAACCTCCTACATAACAATCAAATTACTTGACATACTTATTCAAGTTACACTAGGCTCACCTCATCCTGGGTAGCAGCTGTAATATCAGCAATTTCACCCAAATGATTATCCAAGCGACCAATGTCTGAAGACAGCTTCTGCCTGGTGACCTGGAAGCAGCAAAGAAAAACAGAAAAAAGAAGAGAAACACAGAGAGCTCAGCATATAGGATATAGTGAATGAAGGAAGTAGTTAAGAGTAACCAAGTGATAATCCATGGCAGTCATTATGCTAACAAAAAAAAAAAAAAAAAAGTTGAATAAAATTTTTTTTTCTAAAAGTTTAAAATCTTAACGCACAAATTTCTAATGCTAATTCAATGAACCCTGTTGTCTTAATTCAAAATAACATGCTCAGAAGAATTATTTACCACTCAAAAATCATGATCAAGGTCAATGACGATAGTTTGATCTTACGTAACCAGCCAGTAATTGATAGAATGTCATAAAAACATTTATCAACCAAGGTAGTGAACCAATAGACTGATACAACGAGCATTTTATCCTCTGTTAACCTGTTAACTTCGTATGCTTAATAGTCTAAATATTAAATAATTCTAACTCAAAAAAGTAAGGTTGGGTTTGGACAGAGAATTCTAAATGAGGGATTTCAATAAAGAAAATATGAAGAAAGGAACTTCAAATTCCTTCGCTAAATGGCCCTTCACGCCAAAAATGTTTTGGTGGTAATATAAAAGCTTGTCATTCTGAAATATCATTTAAAAGGTGACTTTTCAAAATCCCACATTCAAATCCTCATTTTCCTAACTAAACTATAATCTTTCTTCCTCGATAAAAAAGAGGAACTTGAAATTCTTCCTTCACATTTTCTTATGAAATGACACCATGAAATCCTTCATCCAAACACAACTTAAGAGTTATAGTCAAATCTCAAATTCTTCAATAAAAACTATAAAATTAGTTGCATTAGCATATTACCAAAACCATTTCTACTGCAACTTTATCATAGTGATGTCAAAAGAAGATTCCAGGAAGAAAAATAGTCATTAAAGCAAAGGGAGGGAGTACAGAAATAAACCAATAGAAAGAGAACTTGCCGATATTGATGAATAAACGTTCTCAAGCTCTTTAGCTATCACACTGCATGCATCAGATAAACCTCGTCTTGTTGCAAACATCATGTCAGGGAGTTTCCACCCCTGAGAGTATACAAAGAATATTATAATCAGATCATCAGTTAACAATAATGAAATTGTTTTGAAGCAGCAAATACATAAGGAATAGCATCAAATTTTGCAAAAGGTGGAAGAAGGAAAAAACAGGTCGTTACAAAGCTTAAAGAGCCTTCTCCATTTTATTAGAGATTTTGCTAATTAGAAAGGGATAGAAGCACTAAAACAACAAAAGCAGGACTTCAAGCTCTCTGTGTTTAAAGATTCTCTCTCAAATTTAATATTTTTTCAATTGAATAAATCAACTTCACAAGCAACCAATAAACCATTTAGCTTTGAAGTTGATCATAAACCATAAAGCCTCATTAAATCATTAGATAACCAAGTGTAAAAGATGCTTATCATCCCATGAGCAGAATAGGTGCGTGCACATGCTTGGTATAATTTTATGAATACTGAGATTAAAATTTGAGCTTATTGAAAATAGGATGAATGATAGTGTCTTTTCTCTGATTCAAATTACATGAAATAAGGTGGTCCAAAGGAAAAGGAAGAATAAGCTCTTGAAAAATAGAACATGTGTTGGAAAACCCTAAGAGCATGTTTGGTTGATGGAATGGCTATTGATTGGTCAAACTACAAAAATAAGTTGAATTAAATAAAGATCATAGCAAACAAGGAATACCTATTCCATGGTTGCACCATTTTCCTTCTAATAAGCTAAAAGGATGGGAATACCTAATAAATTCCTTCTCTCTTCTAAGTTATTAGTCATTAGAAGAATGTTAATAAAAGAATGGAATAGTCATTCCTGATTTGAAATTATATTTATCTAATTTACCCTATTTTTATAGTTAGACAAAGGACCACTTATTCCACTAACATATGCTCAAGCCAACAACGAATGTACAACATTTTTGCTACCATAATTGTTGAAAATGAACTAAGGTCATACAAAAAGAAATGTATACTTGCACATTAACCTTTAGAACTAAGCTAAGCTGCATCAAATTGCATACAAGCATTTTTTACTGGGTGGGCAATTTGTTGTCTACTAGATCTGCTAGCAAGAAACTGGAGACATTCTATGATTTATCATGCATATAAACTCAAACATAAACATACATGCAAACACAAAACAAGTGCATGCACATGCAAACATATGCACAAGCATGGATGCATATGTGCATAAACGCATAAACACATTCTATGAGGAAAATTAATCAATACCTTCCACCAAATGTAGCCATATCCAACTACTCCAACAACAATAATTACGCCAAATCTTTGAGTACCTGCATGTGGCAAAAACAGAGCAAATATGGATCATCAAAAATGGAACTGGGTGGAAGAAGAAGCCTATTTTTTCTTTCAAAATCTTACAAGGTAACAGAGAGAGATATGCACAATAACCTGTTCCGCCTGCAGTTATGATGGTAACTGATCTGTTTGATGCCAATATTTGCAGCTCCTGCCTTAGGCTATTAACCTGAAAGGCTTAAACAAAAGAACGGTTACAAATTCTCATAAAGGTCAGCATTATGATGAGTAAGATGATTTCTAAAATAGAATGATGGGCATTGAGCAACAGAAATGGTTTAATGAATTTGGACCATCATTTAATTGCTCAGCAAATAAATAACGAAAATATATGAAGTGTAAGAACCTATGGATAACCCCTTATCCTGTCAGTTTGCCAGTTGCATGCTAGCATCAGTTTCAGGATATAAATGAAATCAAACATTATAATTGAACAAAACTCACCCAACCAATAACTTATTAGGATTGAAGAGATGTGAAAAGAAATCAATCTTCATGCATATGCAATCTTCTATCATCTTCAAAAGAGGCAACAAAATTAATATTTACAGTCCTCGTTAAATAGGCCATGAATTTACCATCAAATACAGAATTACTGATTATTTCATCAAGTCTCCAATAAACATAAAAGAAAAGAAAAATCTTGCACTATTTTTCCATTAATATTTTATATTTCAAAACATGCATTCTAGCAAGCAAGAACTGCTCCAAAGATCAAAAGTCATTCTTGTGATACAAGGTAAATAGGTTTACATTGAGAATCAATATAAAATGAAGATTAAGTGCAAACCTGAGCCAACAGAGCATCATTGACAGGCTTCTTAACTGATGAAGGAGAAGCATCTTGTTTAAGTTGCTTAAAAATCATCTGTGATAAAAATAAGATAAGTGAAATCACTAGATAATAATAACATGATTTATATTGATGATGCTCAAAGAATTTAAGGTAGGTTATGATGAAGGATTATTTAGTTACTTTTCGGTCATAAAAGAACAGGACAAAAGAAGAGTGGCACAAGGTTCAGTAAGTGATTAGTTATTTGAATTATAAGACAGCCTTAAAGAGAACCAAGATAAGGAAAACATGCTACTTGATTCAGGTCATTACTAGCAAAAAGGCCATGGAATCTTTAATAAAAAAAAGGAAAGACATAGCAAAGAGTCAAGAGAATGAGACCAAGGGACCAAGCAGGTTGAGATCCTTGAAAGGTTCTACAATTAAACCCAAATACACACAATAGTTGGAAATTGATCAATCATTGAAAATTAGAACGCCACCCAAAAAATGTATGATCTAATGCTACAAGTTTAAACAAAACTGAAGTTATAGCTACATCCCCAAGATTTTGTTTTGACAATCAGATTTTAGAAAACACCCACATACAGTCATCTAATATTTGAGAATATGATTGCTACACCAGAAATTATTTTTAACAAGTTGGTTCATCATTTGACCATCCTCCGTCTTCCAGCCAGAACAAAAGCAAAATGTGCGAAGAATTATACCATACAGGCATAAACATGTTCCTCCCACCCCAAGACATATAACAATAAATAGAACCAAGCCATTTTCAAGTCACAATATGCACTGAAAAAGAAAGTAATAGGAACTTATAGAATTCACATATTTCAAGGGGAAGAGCAAAGAAAGATGTAGTTTTTTTGGAAGAAATACCTTTGCAGCACCATTGACAAGATCAGACAGACCCCCTTCTTTTGCAATGATTGAGCCAAGAACACCTAAAGAACAAAGCAACTAATCCAGTGAGCAAAGTAGTTCTTTACAGTGAATTATGAATAACCTACTTTGAAGCAATATTTCTCATCAAGACAGGAAGTCCCTTGTTCAAAATCAAAGGTGACAAGGAAAAAAGCATTAAATATGAAAACAAAACTATATACACTCGTTATCAGCATTCTTGTTGAATGAAATCACATTCAACCATAACTTTGACCAATTTTGACTCAGAACTTTGAGGGCCATGTTGCTTAGAACATGCATGTGAAAATGTAAGACAATAGTTTTACCAAAAAAAAAAAACCTACAATTTCAGATAAAAAATACCACTAATTTCGGACACTTAGCTGAATACACTATATTAAACAATTTCAGACACTAATCTTCTTAGTCTTAGAAAATTGAACCCAGTAAATTCTCCCTAGGAAAACCCAAAAACAGAATTTTAAAGCCCAAAATTTAACTTAATCAAATGATTTGTGCCCAGCCCACACTGAAACCTGCAACGATTTCTCCTAAGCCCAACCAATCAGCAGACCCAATCTGCCAATCCGATCTGCTATTTTTTATTTAGTCCCTAATCTTCTTAGAATTTAAAAATTCACCCAAGAAACTCATTTTAAAAATACCCAATAAGAGAAATTTCAGGCCCAAAATTAAATGGACCCAAAACTCATGTCTCTTTTAGATCTTTCAAAGCACTAACATCCCTATTCTTTCCTGCCATTGCTTTGGATGGATGGTGGGTTTTTTCACCATTCCAACTTCTCTGTGGAGGGTGGTTTCTTCACCCCTTTCACATTCTACATGGGTTGTTTCTTCCACCCTTCCACTTTCTATGACCTGTATAATGTCTTGCAATTTCCATCCACCTGGATTCTTTTCCATAATTATCTGTCAAGAGAGCCATGGATGTTCAGTGGGTCACTATGCCTAACGCATTTGAGCTTGCACAGATGTTCAGTGGAATGCTGTGACTCTGACCATCCAACCATCAGCAAATTCTGAATTCGTTTCTCCAATTAATTTATTGGTTTTTGCAATTTTGGCGTTAAAAGTTTGGATTTTGTGTTTTGCTCTCTTTTTCTTTTTTCTGTTTTCTCTCCAAATTTTCCATCATTTTCAGATGGGGATGACTGAGATTAATGCTAACAGAACAAGGACTGTCGGACTGTATTTTGTATTCTTATTCATGGAAGGGTATTCTCAATCTAACATCTTAAGGTATACTGACTCACCTCCATCTCCAGTCTCTTTCTTCCTATTTTACATTTCTGTTGAAATAATTTAGGGATGATGATGATCAACAGTGGGAAAGACAGAAAGGGGAACTCACTGGTTGAAAGAAAGTTGGGCTTCCTTTATCATTGCTTTCTGTTCATTATGTACTTTTTTAAATACAAAAAATACATCTATTAAATTTGAGGGTGCTGATTTTGGGCTCTTATTGAAAGAAAATTTAAAAGAAGTACTTCTGTATTCACATGATCTCCAATTTGTAATAAAAAAACCAATTCCCACCAAGCAGATTTCTTTTACATCTTCCACATATATACAAATAACTTCATTAGTTTATATTATCCTCATAAAGCATCAAGTTACTTTTCCTTAGCATGGTTTCTTCTATTTTGGATTAATCTTACTCTTCTTTATGAGCAGGGCAGACTACAAATACATTGATCCAAAGAATTACCTTGAGCAATCTTGCAAGCCTAAATGTGTGAAGCCTTTAATTAAATATGAGGTGAAGGATTATCTCACTTAAAACTCAAGATGTTCAAGGCTGCTGCATTTGGTTTTTCCTCTTTTTCTCTTTCGATTTTTTTTTTTTTTTTTTTGGATCATTATCTAAAAACTTTTTGAATGTTGCAGTTCTTTCACTGCATTTTGATTATTGGCAGTGCAGATAGCTTTTAATAGTTGCAAACACCTGAACAGCATGTTTTTTGGGGCATCTTGAAGCTACCTACCGGTTCGGTATTTAATAAACACTTCTAATACTGTCTAGAATCTAGATAGAAGATGTTGTAATGTTGCAATATGTTGCATTTTTAAAGAAAGCAACTGCAGCATCACCAATGCTGCATTAGTTTTCTTGAACATGCACATCAACCATTTCGAGAATTATTCTTATATATATAAAAGAAAAATTTTAACAACCAGTGCAAGAAAAATTTCTGTAACTTTGTCCTTTTTTCCTCACGGAACTATTTGGGTTTTCTTTTGCTTCTCTAATTTTCATTCTTTTTTGGGAAATCTTGAGAATTAGCAGGTCAATCTTTCAAACTCTTCAAATTTAAATATGTATTCTAATTGTTATTCAAAGCAAATTTTTTTTCATTATTCTCAATTTTTGGCTGCTTCTTTTTTTTCTTTTTCTTTTTTTTTTGTGTGTGTGTGTAGTTGAGTGGATAGTGATCATAGTACATACCAGAGAGAAGAAGAGATATGCTTTTTTTTTCTTTCTTTTTTTTATCAGCTAAATAAAATTTATTGAAAAGAGGTATGGTTTTTGATTTCAAGTTTTGAGTCATTGTAATTCTTTTGACTGATGTTTTGCCTCTGTTCATATCTTCTTTTAAAATTCTAATTTTTTTTGACAGCAATTAGCTAGTAGGTATGGAATTATTTTTAATTTTTGAAGATTTGAACATCAAGAGAACAAAAATTTTTCCTTCTATGGTCTTTCAATTTCAGTATATTTGCTATACTTTATTTGGGGGTTCAATTGAATTTCAATATAGGTTTTTGGAATGGCAAATGAATTTTCAAAACAGTTTCTGAGAAGGGGAGCTTGCAATTTTACTTGCCAGTTGCCATCAATTGTTTGATTTTTTTCTTTTTTTTCCCCAAACCTCTTCACAATAAGTCATCTATAAGAATTTTTTTGGAAGCCTTTGAGCAAGATTTTATCTCTCTCTTTGCTTCTTTTGTGATTTTCTTTTTA